TATATTAATTAAAAAAACGCATATTTTCACAGATAAACTATTAATGATATTATAAACCTTCCTCACTACTTTCGTGAAATTCAGTTACGACAAGTTATTCAACGTATCAGCAGCTTATAAAGAGAATTTTCTAGAACAAAACAATCAAAAACAGATTCCGTTAAAGGAAACTAATTTCGCGATAATTTTAAGCGGAAATTGAACAACAAATAAATAATTAAACAATCACACCATATTTCCAACGGCGTACGTGTCGAAAATATAAAGGGGCCCACAATGGTACCAGGAAAACAATGTATATAAAATATTCCAAGCGCAATGTACAGGAAAAGTGATCGAACGGGATAAATTCGCAGTAACATACTGTACGGGCCGCTAAAACATGGTGAAATATTTTGCAGGTGTCTAAAATGAACAAAAAAATAAAGCAAAGTTTTACTAAACGATTATACTTAGCTTTTGAGTACGAGCGAGCGCAGCGAACAAGTAACTTAAAAGCTATGAGTTTAGTAAAACTGCTTTTCTTATGAGACTTGTTTATACATAAAAGTTAGAAATTTAAAAAAATCATAGTAGGTACTTGTGTAGGATTTTCGTAACCTCACACTGCATTATTTATATAATAACAGTTCAGTTTCACTTTTGTGAGTCGAATTGATTCTAAGTTATATATTAATTAAAAAAATGAGTCTTGCTACTAAAAACAATTTAGAAAATTGCTCTGAAGACATTTTAAATGCCGCTCGAGAAGCATCTTGGAGGATGACAAAAAATGCACTAAGACCTGATGAAAGTGGAATGTTAGCATACTTTTTTGAGAAGGTAAGCTATTTTTTATACATACATATTTTAGTTTTTTTCATACAATATATTTCGTTATTTTAGGCAAAAAAGAAACGTGAATTTACAGTAGGATCAGAGTGCAACGAATTTGAAAATAAGTATTTATAGTTGAGACCCAAATAAGTAAAACGCAATAGATTTTTTCATTGACTGTAATCATGGAAAGTGAACAATACAACCAGTTGGTATCAACAGTTTTGCAAAATTTCTCCAGAGTTGCGGAATATCTAAAACATCTTCCTCGCTGACAGTGAAGCTGATATTCAAACACTTAAAAGACATCGAGGATGGCAGTCAACTATTGTGGCTGAAAGGTATATCGAGGAAAACTGCGTCCGTAATGAAAATTTCAAAAAAGATATTTCATCAGCAAGAACTAGTGGCATCTCAAGATCATTCAGGCATGCAGATAATAGTTTTCAGGAGAAACAAGTAGGATTGAATAAATTTCGTGTTGTTAACTTTTAAAATTTGAACAATTGTAATTTTAATATAATATATCACAATGTTTCCAATATTTAAATAAACAATTATCTATCAAACTATTTTTTATAAACAGTGACATTACTATATACTGTATACTACCAGCTACTGTTTACATCAAATTTAGTTACAAATCGTTTAGGTTACATACGTACACATTCATTATAAAATTTGATAAATTGAAAGATCGTATAGTGACGAGGTGACATCAATACGATAGCTGATATTACTGTCACCATACCATGTTAATATAAAACATAAAAAACATAAGGCTAGCCATGACTAAAAACAAATGTACTCTTAAGCTGAATACAGGGTGTCCCGAAATTCATGCAACAAAATTTGGTCATAGATTCTCAAGATAAATTTAGGGGACCCGTATATTTTTTTTGCCAACTGGCCTCCACTTTTTGTCCCTTGATATTTGTTTCGTAAAACGCAATGTTTTTGAGGAAAATGGGGAATCACGATATGCATTCGATCACATTTTGACATTTTTCTCGAAAACATTGCGTTTTACGAAAAGTATAAAGAGACAAAAAGTTCCTAAATTTAATGGCTTTCTAGTGTGCTGATAATTTTTAAGAAATTTAAATATGCGACCAAATTTTCTTGGCTCCAAAGACAAGGGGGCCTACGAAAAATTGTCTTAAGGGGGTTCCCCGCCAAAAAACGTTGCACCATCAGATTCCACATGTCATAAAAACCCCTGTGTACCAAATTTAGTGATTCTCGTACAACAGGGTTCTGAGATATAAAAAAAAGATTATTCTTAGGGGCGGACTTCAGGGGGCTGTAACTCCGAAAGAGGGGGCCACTTGGCAAAAATAAAAAATACGGGTCCCCTAAATTTGTTCTAAGAATCTGTGTCCAAATTTTGTTGCATGAATTTCGGGACACCCCATAGAGAAAACAATTATATATAGTCGGTGGGAGCAATAGAAAGCTTTTTATGTTCTAAAATAGGTTAGATAAACTATAACCTTCTTTTTCATTAGATAATGACTTATTTTTTATTTAAAAAATGTAACTTTGATCTCTAAGCTAAACTGTTATACCTAGTTTTAAAGCAATAACTATGCCACAAGATTCCACGCAAAAAATTACATTTACAAATTTCGGAAAAACTGTAGCCGCTAGAAAGGTCACCCATTGCTATAATTCCAAAAATGAAAAACATACCAAAATTTATATGGACCTGAAGATTTCTCTCAAAAAAGTAGTCAATATTCGCGAAACCCATAATTTAATCTCCTTAATAATAACCGAAATACCCTACCGAGCCATCAAAAATGGGATGCACTGTATTTTTTATTATTAAATATAGTCCAGATGGTATCTGTTTCAAAGAGTCCATATTTGGATGAATCGTATATCCACGGAGATTTTTGGCTTTTTGGCTTTAAAATATCACCAGAAATGAAAATTTTTCTATACGCATAAAAAAAACGTGGGCTTAACTTTTGACGGCACAATATGTTAAAAAAATTCGAAAAATGTCATATTTTTCTTCCTATTTAATTATGTATCTTTACAAGAGTTGATTTTAGGCGAAAATGGAAGAGGAAAAAAATGTGAAATGAAATTAAATTTTACAAAATATGCTGCAAATAGAACGAAACATGATTATTATTGTAAAAATCGAAAAAATCGCAAAAAATGGGGTTAAAACATATTACTTTTTAGGGAATTTTTTGGGGTCTTTAAGTTGGGTATAGGTACTTCATACTTTGCTCAATAAAAGTTCATGATATGTAGAATCATCGCACCAAATTTCATCAAAATCAGTTCGATAGATTTTGCATAATAATTTTGCAATCCAGATTAAAAAAAATTACAAATTTTCAAAATTTTGTACAGCAAAAACCAAGACCCTTAGATACTTAAAAATATAATCACATGGAAGGAGAAAGGCTCTCAAGTTTTCAAATGCTTTCTGAAAAATTCGAATCCGCCAATTAGGAGAGCTCTGGCGCTTGTTTAAACATTGGTCGAATTTTTGTACTATAATTTTGTATTTTCCTAATATAACGAGTTAATATCTCATTTGCTTATATTTTAAACAGTAAATAATATTTGAATTATACTTTAATCACAAAAGAAATTATCAAATTAATAATTAATTAATTAGTAATTAATTAATTACTAATTTTCGAGATATTTTTAGAATATTTAAATTTTGTTTTTGATCTTTGATAAACAGTATATAAGTTTATGCACTTATACAAAAACAAAGTTGATAATTAAGTTTAAAGATAAATAATTATCGGACTGTTGAAAGACCAATAATTATTAATGATAGGCCTTTGAAAATACGCTAATTGTTTAAATCGCGAGACACCGACATCAATGAAGAAAAGTATTTGCAAACTTAGATCTGGTAAGTACTCGGAATACCAAAGGTATTTTTCGAAAAATTAGTCCGGATGTCCCAGTAGATACATTTAGTGTAAATGACGGTTAACTTTGATCGGCTATAACTACGTAACTAATTGACCAATCGTCTGTTTTTTTTTTAAAAGCGTCTTTTCAATAACTTTTAAAACCTGCTTTAAAAAATTTGATTTTATTTAATATTCACAAAGTTATTCTAATTGTTTATTAATTACAAAAATTCGACCAATGTTTAAACAAGCGCCAGAGCTCTCCTAATTGACTGATTCGAATTTTTCAAAACGCGTTTGAAAGCTTGAGAGCTCTTCTATATGTGATTAAATTAAGTATAAGGGCCTTGGATTTTGGTATGCAAAATTTTGAAAATTTGCAATTTTTTTTCAAAATTTGGATTGCAAAATTATTATGCAAAATCTATAAACACGACTTTGATGAAATTTGGTGTAATGATTCTACATAACATGAACTTTTCTTGAGCCAACTTAAAAACCCCAAAAAATTCCCTAAAAAGTAATGATTTTTAACCCCATTTTTGGCGATTATATCGATTTTTACAATAATAATCATGATTCATTCGATTTGTAGCTAGTCATATTTTTTAAATTTTAATTACAAAAATTTTTTCCTATTCCATTTTCACCTAATATCAACTCTTGAAAAGATAATTAATAGGAAGAAAAATATGACATTTTTCGAATTTTTTTAACATATTATTTTTTTAATATATTATAAAAGTTAAGCCCAGGTTTTTTATACGCATAGAAAAATTTTCATTTCTAGTGATATTTGTAAGCCAAAGAGCCAAAAATCTCTGTGGATATACGATTTACCCAAACCAAAACAGATACCGCCTAGTCTAATACTATTGGACTATTACAAAATAGTTAAATCTAGGTGACATCCTGTCAATGATTTGATAAACCTAATGTCAAATAAACAAATAAAAAGTTTTATCAAAACAGGGACTAAATTTTTAATGCAATTGGTGCTATATTTACTTTATTAATAGTAATACAAACATGTATAGTTGGTATTACAACAGGAAATGAGTTATGTAAAATGAGGTTTACTTCCTCACATAGAGGAAGGAGATAGTGAAAAAATATGTAATTTAACTGCTTACGCGAAATTTACAATGTCACCGAATTTTTGCTGATAGTCTTCAATAATGAAAGTAAAAATGCATATTCTGAAGAGGAAAACGATTTAAAAAATGTTTATATTATTGGAGCTTAAAAAAGGATTTATTTATCCATATTAAAATATTTGTTAAGACTCACCAATAAGGCAGAATGATTATCAAGTTACAGCAACATTAAGATATGTATCTCATACCTGAAACAAGAAAAAACAATATAATTAACTGAAATTACTAATTAAATATATATTTTATATTATACCTATATATTTCCCTGTTTTAATTTTGATTTTTTCATGGAAAGGTGTCATTTGTTAAATTTACTTTATCTTTATTAAATTAAAAAATTAATTTAATTTAAAAATGCCATGTAAATTGATATTCATTATAAATAATGTAAATTTTTCAGACGGATCTTTCAATTTTGCTTTACATGAAATATATTTCTACACCTTTTAAAATGTTTGGTATTATCGTACTATAGAAACGATAAAAAAAAGTTCTGTACCAGACACATGCGTAGACACCAGGTTATTTTTTTAGCAAACCGCTAAAATATCCCATAAAATAAGATGAATAATGTAATGAAAATAATCAGCGTCCCCGAAAATCCGCGGTAACAAAGTTCAGGCAAAAATATTGAACGGAAAAATGAGTGACATAAAAGGGAAAGTGGGACCCTGGTCTGTATTAACTTCCTCGCAGGGGTGGGTGTGGGTTTAATTTGCATATATTTCTTTCCAATGCTCAAAATATTATTTTAAAATGTTTTCTCAAAGTATTTACAAATTGTTGCCTTTCATTATAAATCAGCTTATCCTCACATTTCGCCCTATTTTAGGAGATATTTTAGAGTTTTACTAAAAAATGACCTGGTAAATCAGTTTTTCGAAGTGAGATTTAGCAAAATAAATTAATTTAAATGACAGGTATCCTATTAATATGAACCAAATAATATGTCTGTACATAATAATTATTAATTATGAGTTCCAAGTAGTATGTTAATAGGCGGTCAACAACAATTAAATATTTATAATAGGTGTCCACAGGTCTCGAAGTTAAATTACATTCTTAACAATAATTAACATATTTCAATTTATATGAATTCTATGTAGTCTTGTTCTAATGAAATAATTATTATATATCAGTTAATTATTGTTGTTTGGGAAGATATGATAAGTAGAATCAGGAGAAACATTTTGTTGTATGTATATTCAAAATGTTTTACACCCAAATATTTAACTATTTATCTGTTACCCATTTATTATTTTCATTATAAATTACTAATTTTAAGTTTCTAACATCATTTTTTTATTTGAATTGAGAGTACCATACTTTACATTTACATTAAGTCTAAATTTGTCTGAATTTCAATTAAATTACCTCAGCAAGCAATTATAGCAATTTATATTTCGATTAACATATATGTATTTATAATAAACCATAAAGGAACAAGAATACTTCCTTGTGGTACTCCTATAATTATTGGAAATTATATTGTATGTAATTTGGTTATCTGGAACCGGTCTTCACCATATTGCTGGAATCATCTGAACAGTGCCACAGATACAATATTTGAATGTATTTCTAACAATTTGTCGTTATGTAGTTTTAAATGCCCTTTGAAATCAATAAAAGCTGCTGCTGTATTACCTTCATCTATAACACAGACAAATATATATTTTTTCAAATGCATTTTAACAAGAGTATGATACCCCCCCGTTGACCCATTGAAGACAATGGAGCTATCAGAAATGTTCCATCACGTCAGGATTTTTCCGTTTTCTGTGTTAAAATAGATTTTGATGTTAAAGTAGGTACGGTATACAGATGTATTAATAGGATCAAAATAAAAACTTTTTATTCCTGCACTTTCTTCTCTAAAATGCCTCCACGGAGTAGAGTTACAGCCGGTTTTATCCAATTTTGAGCATTAATAAAATGCCTGTAACTAATGCTCAAAATTGGTTGTAAATGGCTATAATTCCACAAGGAAGCATTTCAGAGAAAAGTGCAGGAATAAAAACTTTTAGTGACCCTATGAACACGTCTGTGTACTTTAATTTCAAAATCTTAACTATTTTAACAAAATATCGAGATTTCCTTGATTTTGAGCTATTTTTTGTGGTTGGGAAAAAATCCTGACGTGATGGAGCATATCTGATGGCCCCATCGTCTTTAGCGGATCAAAATACAAAATCATACTCTGGTAAAAACTATTTGAAAACAAATATTTTTATGCCCGTGCAATTTGTTTCTTATCATCGTTCACTGAATTGCGGTTTTACACGAATGTTATTTTCGAGACGCCGACTGGTTTCTGATAAACAAATTATTGGTTTGAAAATAGTCTAACAATTGCAGCAACTTTCATAAACAGATACTGTTTCAGTATAATTTTCATTAAAGCCAAAGTTTTTCTGGGTATAGTGTATAACTAAAAAGATTTATACTGTGTTTACATATTTAAATGAAAATATTGTTTATCAAACATGGGCTATCCCTGAATTTCGACGCCAATGTTTTGGAAATTAAATAAATGTAACAAATGTGATATTATTTAAACATCAACACTCTAAATTAGTGGTGGTAGACTTTTATTTCACTAATACCTTTTCATGAGGTTGTCCCAAAAAACAACCTCCTGAAATTAATATGGCACAGACTTGAAAAAACACCGTGTATATTTAGCTTCATAATGATTACAGGATGTACCTATCTTTATTTTTCATGTAAGGTATTTTCAGAAATTACTAAATGAACTACTTCACTGTCTTCTGGCACGGAAATCTATACCATATATTAATTTTTAATTCAGCCTGAATCGAACGCGATTGAATTGGACCTTTAACAATGAGACGTCTCTTCTACGTGATTAATCGAGACCGGAAAGCGCCCACGTGAAAGAACGCGTTACACTTATAAAATTATGTATTATAAACAAGATAGGAATGGTGAGTCGATCCGTTTCTACAATTTGTCTTTATCATTAACGAACGAAAACTGAAGTTGGAATATAAAAGAATGGCAAAGTAATTATAGCCTAATAGTTTTATTTATTAATCGAGGTGGTTTGTTACGTATGAAAATAATACTATAATATAAAAATACCAGAGCAATTAAACAATAAAAAAATAAGAGTTATGTTAGGTTTTACCAAAAAGTAAGCTGTTAACCACATATTCTTCGGGCGAAAATAATGGGACTTTATACTATTTTTTAATTAGGCGCCTCTATTTCAAGACAAAGAATGAAAACTAAAATAAAAAAAGATTTTTATTAGCAATTCCGTTGGTTTTTTAAGATATTTGGAATTTTGCACAGATTTGTATATATGTGCGACGTCATTGTGTAGTTTTGACCAAACAAATTAAAAGTAGTTATTTGCTCATCAACTTCTTTCAGTGAATGTATATAATTTACAAATATTGTTATTTCTTATAGCATGCGATCGATTATTTATATTTTTTCACTGCTGTAAAATTTTGATTTAGGGCTTTGTCTTAGAGATACTAATGAATGAAATTAATATTAATATAATTTTTAATAATGTTGAAAGTTAAACAAATTCTGATAGAGAACAGAGGAAAATTAGAGAGAATAGGTAACAAATTTAACAGTTTTTCAGACAACTAATACTTTACGGACTTTTTGTCAAAGACGCGCCCAAATAATGATGTTCAAATTTCTTAAAATTGTATTTAATAGCACACCTTCTGTTGGTGAGACCTCTCGATACGTAAATATTAGAAGAGACTAGCACAAACATGCAACGCGGTCAAAAACGGTCATATAATTCAATGTGCTTCGGCCGAAATTGGAGAAGGAAAATAATATTGTTAAAAGAAAATTAAGTGACAAATTAAGAGATAGCATTTATTTTATTAAATGATGAAATACGTGTTTCAAATTACTTTGAAAATTATTTTAGATTACTCTTACCATTGCTATAAATACTAATAGTTTATATATCTCTAGCTATGGAAACAGACAAATAAACAGATTTAAACTGTCAAAATTAATTTAAAATGTCATTCCAAGCCTAACAACGAAAACAGATTGGCTTTCGAAGGGTCAGCAACTTATTGAACAATACGAGTATATAGTGATGCATGTGTATTTTTTATTTGTCTGTTTTTTTCAGCGTGAGATTTTTGGTTAGGCAAACCTATTTCTATAAAAATAACTCCTTTTGGCACAAAGGTTTATTTCATTTTTTTTAACGAAAAATGAGCATAAAATTAAAACATCAAATAATCGCAATATCATCAAAGAAATATACAGAATAGAGAACAAGGGTTGTTAAAAATCGCATTCTACATGATATACTAAAATTGACTAAAGCTTCAGCAAATTGTTGACTCGAAAACTACTATGCAACAAATTTCTCAAAATTATTTAAATTTCTTCACCCTAACTTTTTCTGTAAGATAGCAACAGTATTGAGGTTATCTGGCATAAAATTATAAACAAATTTACTAAACTAAAATATAATCATTACGAAGACAAACTTGCTGGTAGAATTGAGATCAAAGCAAATGGATTCTTAAACAGAAAACCAGCCACACGAAATTAATTTTGTCGTGCAAAAATAAATTTTAGCATATGCATTTTTATTATAAAATTTGGCAAACAGATCTTTAAAAATTTTATTAAGAAAAAATACTATACTATAAAAAGTGTCCAAGAATAACCCCATTAAGTTCTAAACAAGACATTTTTTAAACAATTTTTTTTATTAAGGGATAATTTTACGATCCGCAAGAAGTCCTAAATTGACCTTCATTATGAAGATTCTAAAATTTAAAGTAAATAAAGAAAAATCTAATAATTTATAAGACCTAAGGGAGAAAATGGGAGATATTACTGTATAATAATAAAGCATTACAAAAAAACTGTCTTAGAATATACTTATGTCCTTTGACTAGAAGAGGATGAAGGTATTATAAAACATCTTTCATAATATTTTTCTTAATACAAGACTTAAAGATTTGTTTAGTAAATTTAATAGCCGAAAACATGCCCACGCAGTGGTTCCATGGCAATGACTGTGTGTAGGATCGACAAATAAATTAAAATATTCTGCAAACTATTAAAGCAAATATATGACATGATTGTAATCAGAAAGACAGAAATCCAAATAACGACAAATATAACGACAGGGCGTTCAGTTTAAAAAGACAAAAGTATACCCCTA